CTCTCTCTCTCTCTCTCTCTCTCTCTCTCTCTCTCTCTCTCTCTCTCTCTCTCTCTCTCTCTCTACACTAGGACCAACCTAGACTATGGATTGGTTTTATAGGTGGTCATGCAATTAGATAGAATAAAGTTTCAATCAGCATCTTGAGGTTGATCAACACCTTAACTAGGATTAATTAGTTGTAGAGAGACCCTTCAACTCGCTCGAGTACACTAACTACTTGTTCTTCTTCCTCATTGATACCCTGTATATTTAATGAATTAGTCTACCAATACTAGGAATTAGAATACAAATTAAACTGTACTTGTATGATTATTACCAGTTATAATAAATTTTCAACGTACTGACTCTAAATGTTGGTTTGAGAAACTTCAAGTCCTCTACCATCCAGAATATGTGACCGAAACTAACTAATACGCTACTTGCTTCGATGGACTTGAGAAAAATATACATAAATGATAAAATCAGTCTACTGCCATGAACGAATGTGAAGCTAATTTAACATTAGATTGTTATCATCGGTTTGAAGTGGTTAAATGCCAATGCTTTTTAATATTGAGAGTGGCAATACACAAGCTTCAATTTAATTGAGTGACCACTTGTTCAAATAAAATTGATTTTTGTACCTACCTAATATTTAAAATAGTTAGTAGCATGGATTATCTCATGCTTATTACGTACTTTTTAATGGAGCAAGCTAGGTTAGGATGGTGATTTAGACAGTTGGAGAAGTACTTTAATCCAAAATTTCAATTATTCGCTCCTAGAGTGAAGAAAAAAAAACCTTAATTATGAGTTAGAAAGATTAAGAATTAGCAAGATCAATCAAAATATTCCGTAAAAGGGGGAACTCTAATTCAACCTACAGAAATATCATAGTGAAAAGTTTGCACATTCATAGTAGTTTCTGAGAAAAGCACCAAAAGTATCTTCCCTTATCAGCGATGCATCATTATTCACGGGAAGAAAATGTCATTATGTGCATTTTCCACCATATATATTCTCTCTCTTCCTTCATTTTTCACCATATTCTCTCTTGAATACAAACCACTCCTGAAGAAAACTTGAAGTTCTCATAAATTCAAGCAACTAGGCTCAAATATCCATGTATAATTACAGGATAGAACAGTAATTATAATCATATAAATTCCCCAATTACATACCAAACCTCACAATTTTTGGCACGTCTTTGGAACCGTTGTAAAGTTTTCTTTCTTCTCATCTTTCTTATCTTTCTTATCATCCTGTTTCTCTTCTTTAGCAGGACTACCGATACTAACAAATGCAGCTGATCCCCTGCATTTTCTCAGCTTCTTAAGGATCTGAGCAGGATCGGCATCTCCAATTACAGTTCTGTATTTTTTGATGGATCGAGCACAATTGAATTTACGTGATGATATTTATAAAGAATGGGAAGGAATTCAAGTATAGGTTGATATGGATGTGGACACAAATATAGTGATGATATTTATAAAGCTTCTTGTTTTGGAAGCATTTATTTCACCTCCAACAGGTACATTTTCTTCTATTATTTTTAGAGTTCAGGGGGGTTTTGTGAAATTTATCAATTTTCCAGGCTTGTGCAGCAAGGGGGCTATTTATTGGTTCACCTATGAAGTCACTGTGTCATTTGGTCTGAGTACTTGTATGAAGTTTAAGGGCGTGTCATCAAACTACCAGGCAACTGAGTATCAAATATGTTTAACATAGTTACATAAAAACTATAGAGGAAACATGGGGAAGAAAAATGTGCTTTCTTTTCATGACTAAAATGAACAATCGACACATTTTCGCATTTTCGCATAAACTAGGATGAGGTTGAGTGTGAGCTTCAGGCCTGTAAAGATTTTATGGTCGGCTTGAACCGCACACAACATACTGCCAATCGACACATTTTCGCATCACCAAACCTATTCATTCGGCTGTATAGCTGCCATTTTAATCGCCTTAAATACGAAGGTCATTGCTGTCACTTTTTGAATTTTCATAATGTAGCTGGTATGTCACTTTCTTCGAATAATGTCTGATGAAGGGAACAAGGTTACGGAAATATATAACACATGCATTTTTAATCCAAATGTAGATGAAGGGAACCAACCTATGTATGCTATAAATGATAAAAATTGTCTAACGTCTGAATGATTTAGCTATGAGTTTCCACTTAATTAATTCATCTTACCTGCCATATACGCTAAAATGCCAATGTTGAATTAATTCTCCATCGAGGCTTCCAAAAGTATGTGCAACCTTAGTTTCGGAAAAAAGAAAACTTTGGTAAATATCGCAGGACTCATGCGAGAAAATCTTGTGCCGATAATTTTACTTTTCACAATCTCAAGCAAGATGAGATTGGGGAAGGAAAGAAAATAATGTTGATACTTGATCATATGGTACTGTTATGTTATACTAGAACGATCACAACTAGGGGTGCCAAACGGTTCGGGTATATCCGAACCGATCCACATCCGTATCCGAACGATCACAACTAGGGGTGCCAAACGGTTCGGGTATATCCGAACCGATCCACATCCGTATCCGAACGGATACGAATATGGTAAGCTAACTTTAAAACCGGACGGATACGGGTTTACGCGTGTAACTAATATAAAACCCGAACGGGTTTACGCGTGCAACTAAGTAAAACCCGACCCGAATGGGCCACAGGGTTTCGCGGACTCGGTAAATGAGACGGGTACAAAAATCAAGGGAGCCAATTTCCAGATCTAAACTCTTTCCAATGGCGAAAGAATTCAACGTTCCTCCGGTGATATTCCCCTCCTCCACCGCCAAAGTTTGTCTTCGCGTGCGGCGGCTCCTTCCCAGGGATCCGCAGCCCTTAGCCCAGAAGACGCCCGTGCCGCCCAGCTACCCCCTCCTTCACCCCCTCGAACCCTAACCCTACCCTAGCTCTCCCCTTCCTCTCACTTCGACATCGGGCCGTCAGGCTCCCTCCCTTCCTCCTCGCTTCATCAGCCCCCGTGTTCACCTTCTCTCGCCTTCCACTCGCGCGGCCCCCTCTCCCATTCGACGACGAGCCTCCTCTCCTCGAGGAGCTCGGCATCAACACTCGCCAGATCTGGAGGAAGACCACCTCGATCCTCAACCCCTTTCGGGTGAACCCCAATCTCCACGAGGACGCCGATCTCTCCGGCCCCTTCGTCTTCCTCATGGCCTTCGGCCTTTTCCAGCTCCTCGCCGGGAAATTCCACTTCGGGATCATCCTCGGCTGGGTCACGGTATGCGCGCTGTTCATCTACGTGGTCTTCAACATGCTCGCGGGCCGGAACGGGAACCTTGACCTTTACAGATGCCTGAGCTTGGTGGGGTACTGTATGATCCCGATGGTGCTCTTCTCCGCGGTGGCGCTGTTTTTGCCGAGCGGTGGGGTGGTGATGTTCGGGCTGGGGGCTGTCTTTGTGCTGTGGTCGACGAGGGTGTGCACGAGGCTGCTGGTCGAGCTGGCGTCGTGCGGTGATGAGCACAGGGGGTTGATTGCGTATGCCTGCTG